GAACAGAAGAGCGATTCACAGATGTAAAAGAGGCAGACAAACACAAAGATAGAGAAAAAGGTAAGATGAGTACTGTGGAAGGGGTCGAATATGACAAGCAGTGGGGTCATGGTAGTTTGAAGTCAGAAGTCAGCTGCCGGTTAATAGACTTTTTTGCCGTATGAGTATACGTTGGCCAGGTGCACCACGTGGAGGTAAGTCTATCGCACACCCCCTATCGGAAAATATAATATTGACTGTTTTAAGACAATCAACGACAAAAGTAATAAGTGCGATTGTGTGGGACACGTTATCGCGTTGTGCGTCATCGTATGCCTGCATGTCTGCTCGCCAGGTTTGGGAGTGCGGCGTACAACTCTGTGTGCAGCGACCGTACACACAGTGACCAATCATCAACTTCTGTTTAACCTAATCACCCATCCTGATCATGAGTAGCTCCCTGTGTGTACACTATCCGCAATATACGTACTGAATAAACGTGCTCCGCTGCTACACGTCTGTTTCCTTTATAGCTGGGCAATGACTTAGCTGGTTCTGGGAGTCTAGCTAGACGTTGGAGAATCTGCCGCAGAGATTTCTGAGTTAGTCAGGCTTTACTAGAGTAGCAATCCGCTAAATTGCTACTACAGCCAGTTGAAGTTGTCAATTCGTAGTAAATGAACGAATACAAACAGCACCAAAAGATATCGAAGTATTTGAAGCCAAACCCTTTAACAAAGTTGAATTGGTTGCTTAATTGCTTAATTTGGCATTGTAAAATAACTCGAAAGGACGATAAATTTGGCTGATTCCGTATTGGAATGACCTATAAAGAAAGCACTCAACTTATTTTATTTTTCAATACATAGTTCCAACGTCAATATATTATTAAAGGTTCAATTAGGCATAATTAATAGAAAGTAATTAATGCCTTCGCCGTGGTTTTGAGCAAATTTTGAATTCATATTTCGCCGTTACGAAAACCTCTTTCATTTTCACAATTCAAACACGAATTGAACTGCTTCCAACAGTGAAATTTTGCAATATTAGACCTGAATGTGACAAAATATTGATTTACTTTCATGTATACACAGTCAGACATTGTGGTCAGCTGACTGCTTTGTATCTCCCTCCCATTCACCACTCTTCTTTCAGATTTTCTCTCATTTTGACACACATGTGTTAGGAGATTTACTCCTACTTAAGCTATTTTGTCTCAATTTAATTGTCTTCTCACTGTCTTGCAGAAGCTGACTTTGAATAGCTAAGAGGAATGCTAGCTAAGTTGGGTTTCGCCAAGTTACACTGATATCTTACCTGATAAAGCCTTCTCTTGCAACAATACACAAAAGAACTTTTGAAGCCTTAAATGTTATTCATTTGATATATTAATAGTTGATCCATAAAAAATTGTCTGCTTAATTGAAAGTATTCAGTAACAGCTAATTTAGGGAAAATTTCCTTCATAATACATTAGCATATCAAGATAAACAAACGCGCTAATCCTCTATTGAGGCGAAGGCGCATATCCCAGGTGGGATGTTTTTCATTTGATTTTTGCCTTTTAATTTTAAAAATTGTTTTATTACAAAGTTTGAAAACATTTTTTTCAGTTCGACACACATACTTTTTTTCTTCCTACGATACAGCCTATCGCTTAAGCAAAATATCAGCTGGTCAAATTAAATATGCGCGAAATGTCTGATTTCCAAATTTAACTAATTTAAGACAAAATGAATGGTTTATTTAAAGATGCGAATATTGAAAATCTCACGATGATTTAAAAAATTAAATATATGAGAAAGGGGAATAACTATGAAATGGGAATTTGTTAAAACTTATCTCTACATGAAATGAAAATTAAATTTTTTAAATAACGACTTGCTATGAATAAATAAATTATTTTCAATTCTACTTCTCAAGCCCTCGGAGTGAAAGTCTGTAAAAAACAGGAAAAAGTAAGGAGTGTGCAGATTTATAAAACCTAGGGTGCGTAAAATATTCTGAACAGTGCGGCGTTCAAACGATCGCATATCGACCGAGGTCTCTTTGTCCCAGACCTCCATTACCGTCTTTTCATAATACTACTAAAGTGGTCTAAGAAGTATGGGTGTAAGGCTGATCTAGAAAAAAAGATATCTCAGGATTGGGAAATGTGAAGAACAACGTTTTTGAAGGCAACAAGTAAAGAAATTCACATTATTAAAACAGAAATTTGCTCTGAAAGTTTAATATTTTTTGAAAGAGGAGTTATCGCAAACCCAGGATGACGATTTTAAATTAGTCGGAATGAAGGATTGAAGCTCCTAGTACTGGCAACATATGACGCACCAGGTTAAATACCCAGTCTACACCATGCTTAATACGTTTTTATGAATACTAAGTCTCCTGTGTAAGTGAACTCATCTATTGATGATAAAAATATTTCCACTTGGAAGCAATTAAGTGCATTCATTTGTTCGCCTAATGACTGTATTCAATACGCTTAATTTTAAGCCATTTTTTCTGACATGGTATAAAATCTCAACTAATATGTGCAACAAACATCAATAACAGCAAAGGCTTGTTCAGGAAATCCTGCTTTCGCCTTTTTAGAAGGATTTTTACAATTAGGCGTAACTAAGTTTACTTTACCATGACTTTTTCATGTCGTAGTTCGATAGCTGAATATTTAAAACTTTTTAAAATATTCAATTTCCTGTTTGGAAGGTTGTTTCTCATTCAAAATTGATTTCATTGGTGAATCCATGGCGTGTGTCATCAATTTTCCATTCATAAAGAAATAATAAGGCCACTATATCAGGTCACAAATTATCTATAATTTATCACACCCATACCTTTTTAAAATTATCTCATCTCGCCTTACTGATAATCGATCCTCTGTTTTGGTTAAACAAACTGTAGTCCATAACTACCAGTCACGCTTGATCTGATTGCCATAACAAGTCATATTAATACTCCTTTTGGCCTTAATTGACCATAATTTGACCACATAAGTTCCTACTGAATGAAACAGTTACCCATGTGCAAGTGTCAATTACCTCCTTGATTATTCTTTTTTGAAAACCCGTGAATTCATAAAATCAATGGATTTGAAGATTTCTCAAAATCTTTTATCAGTCAGGCATAAAAGTATCAATATCGTCTCCCTTATTTTTACCCTTGTTCCACATGCATATTGACTTACTTACATTCTATTCATTTGACTTGAGAGAAAACTTTTGTATCTTCTAGAAAATTTCGTGATTTAAGGAAAGCTGCTCATAAAATTTCATTGCTAATTTTCTTTCGCAACGTTTAAATGGTTTCCGTAATGATTATGTTAGCTTTCCAGTGAAAGCTTGCACACAAATATATATTTTCTGATATTTTATTCGACTAACAAATTAAAACTACTACCGTATTTTACTTCAAATACAATGAAAATCAGTGATCATTTGGAACTGAAATTGACCCGTATTTCGTGTGAATTCATTTATTTAAGTTTCCCATAACATCATTTAAGGGAAAATAGTGTCTCTACAAAGCTAACTCGAATTTCAGGAGTTTTATTCCCAGTTTTAGGAACTATTTTAGAGCAATCTGGATCTAGTGCGATCCCGGCTATTGATCGACAATCATCCCTCACCCGTTGTATATCCCTCCTTCCTTCTATTGGGTCCATTGATGATCGGAGCATAGAGCTGATATTAGTTAACATTCTGTGATAAATCAACTGCAGTGCCAAACTTGCAACAACAGAGCAAACTTCATCAATTTCTGCGCTGATCTAACGCATTGGAAACATTGGACCGAACAGTTTAGCAGCTCATGAACAGACTTTTGGTAGACAGTGAATGCCAAAAATGAAACACAGCAGTCGAACCGACTACTTATTTGTTTCTGAATAACACAGTTGTTACGAAATGAACTTCTTGCCTTGTTGTTTTATGCACTAATATCTGTTTAATCATAATTAGTAAAACTTGCAAATTCCACTTTTACCCTTTTCCATACTTGTATTCGTGGAATGTGAGCATTCAATTATTCTTTCATTTTCTAACTTTTTCTACGGTTGAGCTGATTGGTAGACGGGATGTTCCTATTTGGATTTGAAAGCGAAAGTCGTAAGAGGCGCGTCCATTCCCTAATGTATGCCGAGTCGCCAAATATAATTAACATCTATCCGATTAAATTAATGCAATGCCTTCCAAATACGAATATCCTTTTGGAGTGTGGAACTATGACACCATACTGTTTGCGTATCACATAACTGGAACAATGTTTCCATTCTTATAAATACTAGATCCAAGACATAGTTATTCACGAATGATGAATTACAAATAAAACAATTCTATGATAGTATCTGTGAAACTCATGTCAGATGGTTAAGATTTCTGAAAACCGTCAAGAACAAGATTAGGGACGGAAGAGCTTTATATTTACATAGAACAATCATATATGTATATATGTATAGATCAATAAACACCACAGTAGTATTTTGTAAGTTGCATAATACACTATATAAGCATACTTTGTCTAATCAATGTTTTATCAGAGTACTTATACATCGACTTGGGTCATTTCAATACCCGATAGAGAAGAGAAGTCTTTATTCATACCAGAACTAGTGCCACTTGAGCTCGTTTTATCCTGTGACTCCCTCCCTGAATCCATCAAAATCTTGTCTTCTGTCGTATCACCGATGAATCCTGCTCCTGCTGTATGGGACGTCTCCATTTTCATCATACCTGAGGGGATGAGAAGAGAAGGAGGGGGTTTATTCAACTTAGAGAGGTACTTCGAAGTACCAATACTCTCAGGATCATGCGCAAGAGTAAGTCTAGGAGGTATGGAATCTCCTGACCGAACTCCGTAAAATCGGTTGCTGTCTGGACCTCCCATACTGGTTCCCATATATCCCCCTTGGTTATATCCACAAGTACTTCCTCGAATAATATCAGAGGAATGATGGCTAGTGTGAGGCGAACTATTCTGACATGGGCATGGCGACTGTATTGTTTGACTAACTCCGAGACTCCAACCTCCGTTGTCACCCCTTGAGTAAATATGACGCTTTGCTTGTAAATCGAGGGGTCCTGGCGCAAATCCTTCGTCATTGGTACTTGGAGACCCTGTGTTTCGACTACTGGGAGCACTGCCCAGACTCTCCGATGCTCGCCATTTGCTTGAAAAGTTGGGACTGGCTAGAGACATTATTCCAGCTTGAGGAGAATTCAGCTTCATGGACGGTACATTAACCTAGAAAAGGTGTCCCCAAGTAAATTTGAAAGAGCACTTAAACATTGAAAACAAGTCTTATTCAAGCTTCTTAGTGATGCTCTATGATTAATATTTCTATGTGTGGGGAATTCTTGAAGCGAACATATTACATTGTGCACTTTAATTTTACCAATCATCCAGTTTCCAGAAGGTTTATCCAGGGATGAAAACCCCTTTTTATTTAATTCCAGTCAGAAATGAGTAAAGGATGTGAATTCGAGTTAATTTAAATGGCTCTTGCTTGCTCAGAATTTATGTTTGATCTATTTAAATCTTTCTTTTTACTAAATTTTCCTATCTTACGGTTTTTCCACGTCAGATTTAATAAGTCTGGCCAGAGGAAAGTAAAAATTCGATCGAATTTTCCCGGCCAAAATTATGAGAGGATTGTTAAAAATTGGAAATAAAACCTGATTCAATAGTTTCATTTAAGTTCCGTAGATCAACCCGACATGTTTTCATGAATGCCATTGAAGAAAGAACTAACCTGACCAAATCGAAGATCAACCATGGCACTGGCTCTCAAATCATTCTTCATGATATCTAACTCCGGGCTTCTAGTGCCAACTGAATTGCTACAGGAGCTACACTGAGGCTGAGGAAGGATTTGATGAGACTGTCTTCCAGTCCACTGGTTGATTAGCTCCGCTGTTTGAGCAGGTGTATGCGCCCCTCCACTATTACCAGAAAAAACACTACTACAACTCAAACCAGGATTCATTGTTGTAGCCGTGGCGGCAGTTGTGGTTGACATATGCGGCGATACAGGGAAAATTCCTTCTGGTAGCTTTACTCCATTAACTGGGTTATTAGGGTCGTCTTCAATACGAGCCTTTCTCCTTTTCACGATCCTTCGGCGACGAGCGATTATGAGAGCCAGACACCCCACCGAGAAGAATATGGCGCTGAAGATGATTATACTGAAAAGCGCGTACTTCATTGGCACTGAAAAGAATGATGCGGCTTGAGCATCGGTGAAGCTGTGATTATCGGAGTTTTGGGAGTCCCGAGGAACCAAAAAATGACTTCGAGAGTAATCGAATGGACTGATAGGAGTAGATCCGATCTAAAAAGATAATTGGTACATTTGTAACTACGAAGAAGCAACCAGGAATATCTCAGAGAGTGCGCATCTTACACAGAACACATCATTTCGCGTGACATCGATTACAGCAGATTAAAGAGGTAAGATAAAAACACTCAAAACTTCACCTCTAAGGTAGTTTATTCCAAAATGGCAGGATAACACAATGGCAAAAGAGGTTTGGAGATAAACGCGTTTTCTCCCACTGATACAGACTTCATTGAAGCTGAAAATTCTGCAAATTCAGCACGTGGTAGTTTATAATCTTTTGATAACGTCCTCGAAAAATTTACTTGATTTCCAATTATCTGAATGATAATTGTGTTCCTCTTAATTAATGTCGTTTCTGCACAGAGGGAAAGAGATAAGTTGAAATATCTCTCATTTTGAATGACCATTAGCTACCAAGATATTCAATAGAGAGGAAAATTAGATCATTGTAGGAAAGCCTAGCTTATAATAACCATCATTAGCGCATATTACAGACCCAATTCCTTCCCGGTCTTGGTTCCAGCTCGTAACCTGGAGCAAGCTGACTTTTCACTGCAATAGGAAGGCCTTCGTTCTGCATCTTAACCGGTTGGTTTCTGTAGTACTAACCCAGTACATACATAGCAGCCCTTTAGATTAAAAACTGAGAAGAGGAGGGTTGGTGTTCAAAGGTCAAACATACGTTGGACTGATGTGCTCGTAAAAATTGGCGGACAACCATTTTTGACTTTCCTCTGAGCTGTGGCAGAAGGTCAAATCCCATTGCCGCTGTTCATACTGGCGTTTATAGGCTACTCACATTATCCAGGGATTGACTACGGTGGCCAACAATTTCAAGTAAGCATCCGAACTCAACTTAAATCCCTCTTTCAAAAAGTTTCGAAGGAGGGACCACATCACCCTTGAAGAAGAGCCATGACAGTGTATGCGAATTTCGCCTGTGACTTGAAGAGTGTCCTTTTCACTTTATGCAAACCAAACCACCTCTTTTTCTCTTCCCATTGGAGCTGAATCAGGTTGTTGGCACATTAGCAGGATGGTCCACTTTACCTAGAAGTCTCTTCACTTTTGTCAAGCCATTTTCGTGAGGCTTCTTTATGTGAAATTGTATGAGCTTAAAACAGCCAAGGTCTTTGTTGAATGCTAGCTTCTTCGTGGTAGATGCTAAAACATTCAATTCACTAATAGAGACAAAATACTAATTCCGGTGCCAGGGATACAATTTATTCCCGAACACCTTATGAAATAGGCAGCTTTGTTTATCAGAAGTAGGGTCGCATTTTATTAAAATATTTGGAGTGTATTTATCAAATACATTTGTAATTTATTTTCTCATTGTCAAAATAGACAGTTTAACAGTTGAAAGTTAAAAAATTGTCTACTAATCCCATAGTCCCATTAGATTTATGTTCTACACGATTCGAATGTTTCTTCGCAAAATTGTTAATTTACAATATGGCGATAAGTGTTGCACAAGAGATAATTGACGAAACTAAAGCAAATGGAACTTACATCTACATGGAATTTTTTAATGGCGTCATGTTCCCAGTCGAGGCCATCTACTGGCGAACCAGGATCTTCTTGAGGTCCTGTAGAAAGCGAAACAAGAGGACGTGTGTCTGGAAGAAACATTGAAGGTCTAGGCGAGCAGATAGGCTGTCCAGCCCAAAGAGCTGTGCTCTTGACATCGATCATTGGGCCAAGCCCAATTTTACCCGCCGCTACAAGAGCTTTCCCTTCTTCAGTGACCGGTGCAATTCTAAGGGCTTTCGAAGGGTCCCAAACGATGGGTTTCCTTGTTGTTTGGAGTTGCGCGCTTACTCGAACCTAGGGAAAATTGTACAATGTGTTACTAACTTTTTGTCAGTATTGATTTGTTTTAATCACATTTTTTCTACCTGTCCTTCAGGAAGCAAATGAAGTCCCATTTCGGATCCGTCTTCTAGAACTAAGGAAAGGGCTAACTTTCCAAGGGGGCAGAAAACATTCTGATTGGAAAATGAAACATTATGAAGATCATCGGAGTTCATCTGAGCAGTGACAACGTTGAGGTCAGTTGGATCTTGACCTCGTATGATGAGATTAAGGACTCTAGGGTGAGGATTGCTAGCGAAGTCGGCTATCATCTCTTTTTCATTTGGAAGAATTGCTTGGGATACTTCCTCATTTACTATTGCTACACCGAAGGAATCGGTTGTAGAACGGAGTAAAGTTTCAGCAGATGGATGCGGGTCTAAGTGTCCAGATAGAGTAATAAGCCAACTGACACACTCGACCTTCAGTCTCACAAAGTCATTCTTTTCTGTAGAAACAACAGAGACGTCTTTGAAAGCCAATGGTTGAGAATCTTTGGGGGCAGCGATCAACTCGATTCGAACATGACCTTCACTTCGGCCAATGAGGATCGGATGAGGAGAACGCTTATTTCGGAAGACGATAGCAGGTTGGCGAGGAGAGGAAGCGGAAAAATCGGATGTAGATGGGAAGGGCCGAAGCCGGAGGCTCCAAGATGGAATTAAATGAGTGACATCGAGTTCAGCAGGACGATGGGAAAGGTGACTGTATTCTCGACTGCTTATATCGTCAAAATGTGCGCCTCCAGGTTGTATATCAGAGAGGTACATCCGTTCTCCAGTATCCGGAAGAGTCGTATAGATCCTAGAGTAAAGCAGCATTTATTAAAGCGCGGGAAGTTCATCTAGAAATTAGTTCTTTTATCCCGAAGTCCTCATTCTCTTTGTAAGATAACTTGAATTGATAAACGTGGTCTCGCAAAAATATGTCATTAATTTAATTCCTGAGCCCTCCCATAGCATTAAACTTTACCTCCAGACAGCAATAAATTTAGTGCGGGATATAGGCTTCTCTCAGACTCTCATATTGACCCCCCGCACCCCACATAAGGGTGAAATCTGTTACAATTTTTATTCAGATACAACTTTCCGTGTCTCTCTCTCTTTTTTGCAGCTTCTGAACATCCTGTATGCAGTCGGAAATAATTTGCCAAGGGCTGATATAAGGTAAAAGCCGGCTACTGATACTGCGTAAGTTTCAGAAACTTTTGTTTCGTTATCTATAAAAGATGAAACCTGCTTCACTCCGAGAGGGGATGAAAGTAACGGGTAATTAAAATTCAGAAACTAACTTAGCAAACTTTTCAAGATGTTTTGCACGTTTGTTTTATTAAAAGATTAGCAATATTAATATCATGCAAACAATCTTAAAGCACTCCGTCAATGTTTGGATCAAAAATACAAGCTGAACATTTAATGAAAATTTTATTTTCAATCTTACTACAACGTGGAGTAGAGCAGTGAGAAATAGAAGGATATTGGCCTTAAAACGTGAATGTCTGTACAAATCGAATTTTTTGCTTTATATAACGCCTGCTTAACATTCCATTCAATCGCCTTTCAATTTCAAAATCACTGCCCCCTCCCTTCCTGTTCTCTCTCCCCGTGTCATTATCCTAGCATTGGCTCTGTTTAATTCGTGTCGTGGAGGTCTGCACTCGCGCTTGTGGAGGGCTGTACAACTAAGACATAATTGATGATGACGCATGGACAAATCAGAGTAACGCGCGAATGAAACCCATAAAATAGCCATAGATAAGTAGTGCCACTGGAACTCATCAGTCTTGGAGAAATGACTATTCTGATAACGAAGCTTTTTCAAAATTGTTAACTTGGAGACCGATTTGTACAATTCCGAAATTTAAACATTCTGGCATCGCTTCCAGGGGCAACTTATTTATTTATTTCTTAATTTACTGCTGTGAACCAAGGTTAGCATCTGGAACAAAATAGAAGCATGAGATAAAACATAAATAAATGACTGCATATGAAAATCTATTCCATTATTGGGGTCAAGTTATATGAAGGACATTAAAAAAGATCATATTAATGATACGAATGGAACAAGGCGCACATGGCTTTCAACATAATAGTTGAATAGCTGCAGTGAAAAGAGGGAAGCAACATATGGAAATTTCAGTATTGTAGTTGGGGCTTCTGTCGAGCTAAAGTCAATGACGCGAATCTTTTGTACTTAACAATTCAATTTTCTTATTTTCTCCAAAAAGTATGCATAAAACAGCCCTGAGTTGTATTTGGAGGCAAGGTTGAGGAGCCCTGTGCGATATATTTTAAAGTACGGAGCACAAGTGGCCTTAAGGTTTGCGTCAACATAATGGGCACTCTATCCGATGAATTATTATGAACTTGGTCATATCTATCTAAAGCTCAGGTTTAAAATCTCCCTAAAATGATTTGTGATGGTCCTTCTAACCTCAAGCACTTGCACGGCATCCCACCAAGATTCATTATTTTTCAAACACCAATGATGCTTTAATTCAACAAAAAGCTGATTTTATGGGGTTTTAGGAGGCTTTAGAGTACTGAAATTAGTGGAAACCAAAACAAGCATCTTTTGTCATCCATGGTTTGATTCTGTCTCCACAATTCCCTTCAAGTGACAATGAACGGACCGACTCACTTTCCTCCTCCCTTCTCCTTCACCGCTAAAAATAAAATGATCCATTACACATACAGACTGTTTGTGGAATGGTCCATGTTGCCGACCCAATGCAGACAAATCTTGCATGGCACTTATTGCAAGGGGACCAGTTCAGTTACCTTACGAAGTTAATATGTTGTAAGGAAAAAGAGACCGAAAAAAGGATTGTCGTAAAGCACTATTGTCACCTGTCAACCTGTTTAGTTAAGGTTAGTCGTCACACATTTCCCGATAAATGAGTAATTTTGGTGTTTTCCATCTAAGTATGGTAGCCATCAGAGACCACTGTGGATGTATCGCTAGTAAATCGAAAATACATAAACTCTGCGGAATTATTATTTTGATTACTTCACATCAGGAGAGTTGGGTTTCGGAGAGTTAGTGCGTCATCAAGTGACCTAGATGCTGGTCAGCTGAATAGTTAACTCTTTGTGTTGGCCAACTTCGAACCCAGAACAAAGTAGAAGTAACTGGGACCGAAGGCGTTTTCTACTTCAAAATTTGTTATCTGAAATTATTTTATGAGCATGACCGAATTAACTACGGTCCTCCAACCTATTCAAATATGTTCGAATTCAGACATAAATACCTTACAATGACGCTGGAAGCATATTCCCACATCCACATATATTTTAAATAGGCGCGTCAATATGTTCCATGCTGATCTGTGGGAGATATGGAATAATTATTCAAGATGAAGTATGACCACCTAGAAAATTTGATTAAATTCCTATAGCATAAATCCTGGTAACATAACGTGCCTAAGTGGTCAACGCTTTCTAACATAGAATACTTTTACTTACCGAGCAGTAACGGTTATTTTTGTTTGTTCATAACGAGGCGTACAATTTTTTGATCTAAAATAGAATTAAATGGTCTTATATTAACAAGATTTCTCCAATGAAAATTTAGAAAATATAGAAAACCGATTGGGTTAAAATAGTGCACTTACGAATTATCAAGCACCGGGAAGTTTGTAATTCTTTTAAGTTTATCCGATTGAAGTCGAATGTTGAAATTCTCAAAGTGCCAACGTCTAACGGTTGGACCGAGCCAGGCTCTCCAACTCCACTGAACAGTGCTCCTCAGAGGTGGAGGTGCATGTGTCATATCAGCAAATACAGGCGGTCCATCCCCAGACTCTTGAAGTCCCAGAAGGATTTTCCCGCCATTCGTTACATCTCCGAAAGGAGGATTCTGTTCTAACTCAAGAGGTGCCTCTCGCATTTGGAAGGGACAGGTAGATTGTGCACGATGTAACATTGGAAGCGTGGCGGCTAGAGGCCCAGAAGCTGCCTGAGTGACCGTCCGACAGTAGACTTTATTCGTAAGTTGGATAAGCCTTCCAGCAGAAGGAGCATGAAAGATAGATCGATGAGAGGAAGACGAAGGAGGGTTGGAAGATAATGGCGGAACGAGACCGAGGACCCTTAATTGACGTGGTGGAGGTGGTTCTCTAGATGGAGACCATGGGGGTTCAAGAATGTCTGTTGGCTAAAATAAACACAGATGACAACTAATTGGGCAATCCTTTTGAGCAAAGTAGAACGATACACTTTCAGAAATGTTTTCTAACTCTAAGGCTTATTTCTACTTATTAGTTTTCTAATAAGAACTCCATTCTTTCTGAGAAAAGAATTGCAAGATACAAATAAGTCACTCTTGGATGGGATGTCGTAGCGACATGTGATGGGGATATTAACCTAAATTCCCTTTCCAATTATCTATTTGGATTTTAAACCAGAGTGGATATATTTATGTCTATTAAATCTAACTTTAATTATTAAATATTATCAATGTTATGTTCAGTCAACATTTCTGAATTTATTTTAAAAATGACATTCGTAGAAAGAATAAAAAATGCACATTGATACTAAATAAGTACACCTTATAGTATTTATTTTCGCCAATGAATTATCCAGGAAATACATTAACTCGAATCAAAAAGTCGCGAGATTTATCAATAAATGAGAGCAAGAATGAGTGCGTTTAACTTTCGCTCAAGTTTTTATACTGCGCGTTTAATTCAATCGTCACCGTGCTCCAACTCAAAAATTGATTTTCAATCTCATTTGAATAAATTTGCAGATATACGAAAAGACCGCTCTAATTTACAGCTCATTCAAGGCCCCATTTGTACGTGCTATAGATTAATAAGTGCAGTGTTTACCTACTGCGACTAATTCCAAACCCCATGCGGGAAGAGGACATTTCGAAGGGACGATCATTATTGAAACCCAAGGATGGGCTTTGTTGGTTCAATTAAACAATGGTTAAAAGACTGTAAAGTATCATATGAACAGATGAATTTTCAAAACTTTGTTAAATGAAAGTGAAAGTTTAACTTTACATAGGGATGTAATAAGTTAGTCAACAAAATACACGGAAACATGCGGATCTATAAAAATTTTGTAATTCTAACATTAGCAAAATGACCATTTGAACGCATTTTACATTGTCAATTTAAAAAAATGAAACTAGAAAAGCCCAGGAATGCCATTACGAATAAACGTCAAGTGACAAACTATTGCATGAACTAGAAAGTAAAAGAAAGAGAAGTATTGCTACGAACCACTTCAATTACCTTTTTATTACAATGGGCTGAAAATGTTAATTATTGCTTTCTTTTTTGAAGGGCTGTGTCCTAACTTGTTGACACCTACGTCATTTTGCATATTCACCCCCTTCCCTCACCCCCCTCATTCAGTCCAACTCCCTGTTGTAAATATTCAAGGCATTAAAAGGGTGTTTGTTTTTAACGTAAGCAGATGTTGATTTTGTACCATTTCATTTATTCGAAAGATTTAGAATGATCTGATTCTTGTGCTAAGCACATCATGCCAATGAAGAGTTATTTCGAATTTAATTCGTACAGAATACGTATTTTATTCACTGGTAGTTAAAAAAAATTAAGAAAAAAAGATTAGATGCGACGCCTTTTCTGAAGCGAATTAAATCATATGATAAAAATTGAATGAAGGCGAGGAAAAGAAATATATGAAGAGACCACATTTGATAAATTATTGATTTACGATACCGGGGCAGTGGAACTGATCAATATAAGTCTAATGGGCCAAAATACCTCTAAACACTGGTGCTTTAAGCCACTGATTTATGCTAAAATTAAAAAACTCTAAATATGTTTCTATAATTCAATTTAGTAGATCTTGAATTGTTCCACATTGTTAAAGGCTTTTCATAATTGTATATTTTAGTTTAAGCACGTTTAAGTCTGAAGTGAATGAACTAACTTTTCACGAACAGCTGATGTGATTCTACTAAGATACTGCGTCATTTCTTCCAGAAGAAATTTCACAATTTACTACGAAATGAGTGTTGCATTTCCTTGCGTTTTTACTCAAAAATCAAAACCAACTTTTATCAAATTCAGGATGCGCTTTTTTGTCAGTAAGAGGGTATGGCACTCGTAGCAAGCCAATCACTGGCATGTCTTGGAGAGGCCCATTTTTACCAGAACACGACCAAGTTTAACCCGATGAAATCGAATCACCTCGATGCCCCGAGAACAAAAACCGTCAGTATTTTTTTAACTCCACTTGACGACAACCAACAAAGGGGTGAGACGAACGAACTCCTCAATTTTTTACTACGCGTTGGTGAGGTCGAAAACCAGTAGCAAAAAATGCATTTTCGACTTTGCCTCACTGTTCCTTAAGTTCGCTTCGCAAGGTGCGCGACGAAGCAGCGAAAGTAAAATGTCATCCTCCTTTATGGTTGGTGCTAACAAATATAACCATGCAAGAGTGTCATTTTTTATTCTTTAAAGCTTGCCCTAGCGCAAAAAATAGATAACTTTTATAAGCACAAGTGATGGCAAGGAAATCAGATGTCTAAAAGTTAGCCGACTCAAGGGATAAAGGATAATGGGTGATTTTAAAGAAGATCATGGGCTATAATGGTCATTGGTGCGCATCCTACAGTTAGAGGAATTGTGAACCCCGCTGTTTAATGTTTGTTACGACAAAATTCGAAGTTCTTGCTTGAAAACCTTCTACTCTTAATAAGTAGTGAAAAGTGTTTTCCTAAACGGAATGGAGTGATTATAGGATTATTTTTAAAGTGAAAATTAGTTGAATTTCCTACTTATTGCAAGCACATCATGAATGGTTAACAATTTCGAAGATAGTGTAATATGATGCATTTCTTAAGTTTGGTTAAATCATGTAAACTTATAATCCTAGACTTTATAGCCCAAACCCTCTGTGCTCAGAATTAAAGGACGAGTCAATTTTGTGGAGTGAATCATTCATGACGTATGATTTCCAACTAACAAATAATTGCGAAAAGGTCTACCAGTTGCGCAATAATTAATGCGCAAACGTTTGCTCAGGAAAACAGTCACTCAATTGCTCCATCGGTACTTAATTGCTCAAGTGTCTGAAAAGATGAAGGTTTGGGCAAAACGGTAAGTCGAATTCCTGAGAATTCTATTCTGTTCAAGGTCAAAATCGCCAAATTTATCCTATCTAATCTCTTGGTAAACCTCTTTTGAAATCAACGTCTATCAAGACCAAATCGTATATTTACTGGGAAATTAAACTGATAGTTTTACTTACATCAAGTGAACAAGGAAGATGCTTTCTCACAAAAGACCATGATACTCCATTCTTTTCGTTTCATTTATATTAATCCACCAAATAGAAAACATTCTTTTCAAATAATTATTGCCTTGGCATCCGCCTAATAAGAATGTGAGATAATAATAAGCCAGTGAGCACATGGTCAGGACGTTGAAACCCTATAATTTTACCGATTTGTTTGCGAAATTTGTATGACCACCCACAGAGTAGAGCCGCTTTTGCGTGTCTCATGCCTACGACCCAGGAGCAATCCAAGGGTATCAAGCTTACTAACTTCCCTCCCCCTCCCTCCCTTCTTATATGATGACTCTATAAAAGCGCGGACATGAAGAAAGCTGACTCATTTCGCATCTCTTTGTTAAATGCCATCATTTTTGCCTACATCGAAAACCAAATCTTCACGATATTGGTTGATTGGTTAGGGGCATGACTAATACTAAAGTTGAGAAAATGAGTAATTTTTACTTTTATTGTGAGAAATCCAATTAGCGGGATCTCACCAAATGCTATCGTGAATAAGCCTTGAAAGGCTATTATGCATCGAATGAAAGGGTGGAAAAAATTTCCTTTTTTGATGGAGGGGGGGGGGGGTTGAGAGGTGAAGTTAAATTGCCCAAACTTTTGTGTACAAAAACATGAGTGATGCTAACAATTGTTGCCAAACTCTTGAGTTCAAAACCAACATATTAATAGTTACTCATCCAAAATTCGACGTGTTATTTCCTTTATATTGCAACGCCTGGCGTATTGAGCTAGATTCAAATCAGAAATTTTATTTAACAGATTAATTATGTCAGATCACTGGTTTTTATACCATAGAATAGATCACGTGCCTCCTAAGTCATTTAAGATTCTGCCAATTAAAATCGCCTTAGGAATTCATGAAAATAGACAGAGAGCAAAGAAAGAGGAGTTGATGTTTGGTGAGTCATAAAATAGGCCTCTGAACAGCCGAGTTGGAGGGGGGGGGGGGGGGGAGGGGAGCAAATTGTTATTTCAATTGCCTAAATACTTAATTTGAAGAACGAAAGTTACACTCTATTCTTAACTGAACAGATATTGGAATACAAGGGAAAACTAGCGTCTTTTGTTGATAAATAGGGTGAGAGATTCCCCATGAGCAAGTAAATTTGTCCTGTATGAATTGAGCTCCAGGGCAGGTGCTGAATCATCTGGTTAGAAGGCAAGTAAGGGGCAATATAATTTGGAATAGTCTCCTGACTATTTGAAACAATGTTTCAATTTGTGGAGTTAAACAAACATACGGAATATGTAGATGAATGGAACATGCATATCGTTCGCCAGTAGGTCAAAAATGCCCCCTCAAAACAAACGTGAATAACTAAACAATCAGGAAATTTTTGTCTTTTAAGGTCAAGTAACCAAAGATGTCTGTGTAGAAGCGAACGGAGAGCGATTCCTAATATAATTATGTACCATAATTAAGAGATCAGGCTACTATGAATGTTAGGTGGATCTTCGAACAATGATAACCACAATATTATCTACTGGGAATTTACCCTCGTTTTTGGCAAATATTGACTTCATTTCCCGTCTCTTAACCTTAAACTTTTCAGAACAAGCCACTTTTACTACCTCACATAGTTGTGTGAATTGATCTTTTAGCAGTCATTCCATGACATAATCTCTCAGAATCTGAATGGTGAATGAAAGGAGACCTGCACTGAATCTCAAGTAGAAAAACCATTGTGTCAATTTTGTCGCCATTTTTTAAAAAGAATGCAAACTTCTCCCGAAAATTATTTTTCTTTCAAAAACGATATTTATAACCCTCTATCTGATTCTCTTTCAAATTTAACAAAGGTTTTAAAATGAGGTCTCCTTAAAATAACAGGGGAACCCATTGAACCCTCTTAAACAACCGCAGGAGAGATTGTATTTCATGTAGGGAGGCACCCCGGGCAGTATGCCTCTGTTTCAAAATGAGAGTAGTGTAGTATTCAGGTCAGTCATGAAAGCGGAGTTGTATAAACAAAATTGCGAATCCATCTGATTTATTTTCATGGAAGTTACTACTTTTCTGGCGCCGTTCACAGCACGCGGAGGAAAGCCCCATCTTCACCATTTCCACTTCTGTTTAAGCCTAGTCCATTAAACAGTTTGCAATTTTGGCAGTGAATCATGTACGGTGGAGAGAGGATAAAGTGTTTACCTTTGGAGGCGAAAAGAAGAATGGGGATACCTCTCAAGGAGTTTCTAATTGTGATATTAGGAAGTGGAGGGATGGAAGTTGTCCCCCTTCTTACAAAACTTTCTCCCGTTTGCAAAATTTCACATTGGTTAAAAGTAGGCGAAGAAAGAAAGGCAGAATGCATAACTGGGTAGAAAAAGTCGTCGCAAAAAGACAATTGTGCAAAATCTATTTTTGAAAAAAAACTTTGTTAAACATGTTATCTTCCCCTTTTAAGTAAATTAAAAGCACGTGAAGCTCCTGGATTCCGTTTTTCGATCGGTATCCCGTTTAAAAATGGTAGTTTTGGTGCTAGAAAAAAATGCTCAAATCAATGGAGCAATTGTGATAATTAAGAGCGAAGCCTTCTTCCCACGTTAAAAGTGAACAAACTGTTTAATCAAATATTTGATAATGAGAAGCTACCTTTCGCGAA